CACACATTGAATATCAGTCAGCAGTGTGATGCGGTTGGGGAAAAGGTTAGTATCATTCTGGGGGGTATTAATAGGAATGTCCTATGTAAGCCAAGGAGGTAATTGTCCCACTCTATCTGGCACTGGTGAGTACATCCCGATGTGCAGAAAGAATAGCAAATATGGCAGGCGACCATCTTAGCTTAACAGAGAAATCTTCGGTGAGTTTAAACACCAAAAGAAAGCTTACAAGAAGTGGAAACTTGGACAGATGACTGGGGAGGAGTATAAAAATATTGCTCGAGCATTCAGGGGTGTAATCAGGAAGGCCAAAGCACAACTGGAGTTGCATCTTGCAAGGGATGTGACGGGTAACAAGAAGGATTTCTACAGGTATGTTAGCAAGGAGAAGAAGGTCAGGAAAAGTGTGTGACCCTTAGTGAATGAGGAGGCAACCTAGTGACAGATGATCTGGAAAAAGTTGAAATACTCAAAGATCTAAGGACTATTTAGAAAAGCTGGAAAGGCACAAGTCCATGAGGCCGGATGCAATGCATCCACAGGTCCTGAGGGATGTAGAAGTGGAGAAAGGGAGAAAGGGAATTTGAATATAAAGATCTTAGTTTTGTTTCTGGGAATAGAGAGCAAGAGTCAGGCTAACAAAGTCAGGATGACACTGACTCCAATAATGCAAGACTTGAAGGCGGGGATTCTGCAAGGCAAGTGAGAAAGAACTGTAAGAAAGTTTGTTTTGACCTTGTATTTGATAAGGATGCAATGCAGAAATTAATGAGAAAAGTGAGATATCAGGAAGGAATATACGTAACAAAATGCGGCTGTTGCTTATTATTATATGTAACCGAAAGGTATAAAAGCTTGGTCTAATTGTTTATCTATCAGAGACCTATGTACTCTCCCGAGCATTTGCAATTGCTTGAAAATAAAGCCGTCTCTGGCTTGTTGCTTCAACCTCAGAGTGAGAACTCGTTTTTCTTCAATAGGGAGTTGGCTGATGTGATTGCAGAGCCATTGGCCATTATCTTTGAAAACTCGCAGCAATCGGTGGATGTCCTGGATGATTGGAAAAAGGCAAATATAGTGCCCATTTTTTAAAAAGGGAAGAAGGAGAGTCCGTAAAACTAGAGCCTCACCTCAGTCCCTAGACAAATCATGAAGCAGGTCCTCAAGGAATCCATTTTGAAGCACTTGGAGGCCAGGAAGGTGATCAGGAACAGTCAAAATGGATTCACCAAGGCCAAGGCATTCCTTACCAACCAGATTTCCTTCTGTAGATATGGGGAAAGCAGTGGACTTGATATATCTTGACTTTAGCAAAGTTTTTGATACAGTCTTCAACATTATTCTGGCAAGCAAGTTAAAGAAATATGGTTTGGATGAACGGACTATAAGGTGGCTAGATCGTAGGGTTCAAAAGGTAGTGATCAACGGCTCAATGTCTAGTTGGCAGCCGGTATCAAGCGGAGTGTCCCAGGAGTCAGTCCTGGGGCCTATTTTGTTCAACATCTTCATTAATGAGCTGGATAATGGGATGGATTGCACCCTCAGCAAGTTCGTGGATGACACTAAGCTTGGGGGAGAAGTACATACGCTGGAAGGTAGAGATATGGTACAGAGTGACCTAGACAAATTGGAGGATTGGGCAAAAGAAATCTGATGAGGTTCAACAAGGACAAGTGCAGAGTCCTGCACTTAGGATGGAAGAATCCCATGCACTGCTACAGGCTGGGGACCATCTGACTAAGTGGCAGTTCTGCAGAAAAGGACCTGGGGATTACATTGGATGAAAAGCTGGATATGAGTCAGCAGTATGCCCTCGTAGCCAAGAAGGCTAATGGAATATTGAACTGCATTAGCAGGAGCATTGCCAGCAGATTGAGGGAAGTGATTATTCCCCTCTCTTTGGCATTGGTGAGGCCACATCTGGAATATTGTGTCCAGTTTTGTACCGCACACTACAGAAAGGACGTGGACAAATTGGGGAGAGACCAGCAGAGGGTACAAATATGATAAGGAGGCTGGGTTCTCTTATGAGGGGAGACTGAGGGAACTGGGCTTATTTAGTCTGCAGAAAAGAGTGAGGGGCAATTTGATAGCAGCCTTCAACTACCTGAAGGGGGTTCCAAAGAGGATGGAGCTCGGCTGTTCTCAGTGGTGGCAGATGCCAGAACAAGAAGAAAGAATCTCAAGTTGCCGTGGGGGAAGTATAGGTTGGATATTAGGAAAAAACTATTTCACTAGAAGGGTGGTGAAGCACTGCAATGGGTTACCTAGGGAGGTGGTGGAATCTCCTTCCTTAGAGGTTTTTTTTGAAAGCCGGGCTTGACAAAACCCTGGCTGGGATGATTTAGTTGGTGTTGGTCCTTATTTGAGCAGGGAGTTGGACTAGATGACCTCCTGAGGTCTCTTCCAACCCTAGTCTTCCAGGATTCTGTGATTCTACTGTGTCCAGTTCTGGGTGCCACACTTTAGGAGAAATGTAGAAAAACTGGAGAGCGTCCTGAGGACAGCCACAAAAATAGACAAAGGTTTAGAAAACCTGACCTAGGAGGAAAGGTGAAAAAAACTGGGTATGTTTAGTCTAGAGAAGAGGAGGCTAACGGGCAACCTGAGAACAGTCTTCTAAAATATAAATTGTTGTTCTAAAAAGTATTGGGGTCAATTGTTCTCCATGTCCGCTGATGGTAGGAAAACAAGTAATGGGCTTCATCTGCAGCAAGGGAGATTGTGATTAGTCATAGGAAAAACTTTCTAACCCTAAATGGAGTTAATCTCTGGAATAGCATCCCAAAAGAGGTTGTGGAATCCCCGTCACTGAAGGTTTTTAAGCCCAGATTGGACAAACACCTGTCAGGGATGGTTTAGGCTGACATGGTCCTGCCTCACAAGAGGAGGATGGACTAGGTGACCTCTCAATATCCCTTCCAGGATGATATTTCCATGATTCTATTCTATAAAATGTCTTTTGAGATGAAATCCCCTGTGCTTTGTTCCCCTCTGTTGTCTGTTATCTGGCGACCAGCTAGCCAGGGGCCAGGGAGTTATGAAACATTACTCTGAGAAAACAAAGTTGGTCTTGAAAGTTTTCTAAGAACCAGGAGAAGAAGGAAATGACTTAGCCCGTGGGGAGTGAAGAAAGAACAATTTTTCAGAGAAAGATGTAGACATTTATTAATCTTGCTGGTGCCGGCCAGAGGCGGTTTGGCGGGGGTGGGCAGTATGCGACCACAAATGCCCCTCCCCAGATTTGCTACTTAGCTGATACCAACCATGCTAACATGGACTGAGCTTGCTGGATAGCATTGCTGAAACGGGCTGCCCTCATTCTGCGCCCCCACTATGGGCAGACATGGGTCATCTCTGTCGGGGACCATCAATCCCGACCTGTAGACCCACCATCCCAGTCCAGAACTCTGACTCTCAGAGAGCTCCATTTGTGCTCCCCAATGTCTGACTCTGAGAACTGTTTCCGTTCGTGACACGACCGTGCGTGGTGATGCACCTTTCACTGCCACGGGGATGAGGAGATATACCTGCTTATATGTTCAGCTTGACAGTCAGGCCTCAGGGATGATAGCCTGCTAGAGATGGGAGGGTTTTACTATCCCAGCAATGGCCACTGGGGATATATCAACACCACAAAAAAACCCCCACTGCAGCCAGTTTCAGAGGCCGAGTCAATTGATCCCGTAGGACGGACCAGACTGGACACAGCCCCAGCTGTGCAGAGCCCAAGATGCTGAGTGTCTGCACGTGTTGGGGGCCCATCCTTTCTCCCTGCCATGTGGCTGGGTGTACATGCCCGAGGACAGCCTAACACCACCTAACACTGGGAACCTGACCCTGAGTTTTCCTGTCCCCACCCAGCTGGGGCTGTAACCCTTCTGGGTCCAGACAGAAGGGCTGCCCCCACCTCAGACAGGCCATGAAGATGCTTCTCGTGGGGGATGGGAAGCCGTCATCTGGGAATGAATACGGGGTTCTCATGGTCTGTGGGTGCTGTCTCAGTTGTATTAGGGCACCCTGAGGGAGTGGCACGGATGAGGAGAAGACTAGGGGGCTTTATCCATTTATCGGTCATGACTTCAAGGTCTTCTCCGCAGCTTCGTGGGCTCAAAACATCCAATTTACCACAAGAGAAGCCGACATTCACATGTGATCCCATGACTCCTGATGCTGGGACTTTACAAAATACACCAAGGCATTTCAGGAGAGCTTGGAGCTTGGTGGAGAAATGGGGCCAGGGCCTCAGGGCAATTTTAAGGTACTTTCTGGGGCCCAGAATTGTAGGCGCGTGAGATGTTCAAACGTGTAGACAGCCAGGGTCACATTTCTGAATGGTCACCCCTGTTGTGCGGGGACGTTTGCTCTTTACTCAACCATGCCAGCCATGGGGCAGGCCCAGAGGAACATGGCTCCAGCACCGTCTGTTTATGGATTTCCCCATCACCCACCACCCATCACCATGGTATCAGTGCTCCCCCACGTCCAACGTGGTCTCCATGCTCCCCATCTTCTTGGAGAATTTCTGTTGTGGGCTCTATGGCTGGGCTACAGGAAGTCACAGCAGGGCCCCCATCCCCTTCTTACTGCTCTGAGATGCACACTGTAGAGGAAGCAGGGAGCTGAGCCAAGCCAGCCGGTGACTCAGCGTTGGCCGCACTCCCCGCCAGATGAGCTGCTGGAGCAGAGGAAACGGGTGAGCTCCAGATGAGCCCAGCGCCAGGTGTGCTGGGCTCCAGGCAGGCCCCAGGGGGCCTTGCTCCCAGATGTTCTGGGGGGAAGGGGAAGATATCCCATCCCAGAGGGACTTTCCCCTGGGTTTCCTCCAGAGAGAGGTTGTTTTCCAGCCACCAGCTCCCTCCCTCATGCCCCCCATGTGTCAGTGGAGAAATGCTGAGGTTTCTGAGGGCGCCTGCATGGTCCCAGCTCCCCACAAGGGGAGAGCGTACGTGATCTGTGGTTTCCTGCTGACTCTATAAATCCCCCAGGGCTGAGGCACGAGCACTGTCACTTTTCCCAGATGGTGACAATGCTGATCCTGATCCTGCTGCCCGTGGCCTTTCTCCTGCCCCCCGGGGCTGGGGCTGGTGAGTGTGGGGGGGATGAGGGATCCTGGGGCGTGGAGCCAGGAGCTCTCTGGGCTGTTTGCAAATTCTTGGATCTTCCCCAGAGTCAGATGCATCCCCCAGGGTGATTGCTTGCTCCCAGGACCCAGCTAGGGAAGAGTTTGGAGGTGGGGATGAAGAAGTTGGGTGGTGGAGCTGGTGCTGTGGTAAAGCCCCCGAGAGATACACAAAGAGACTGAGAGCAGGAGAGAGGCACAGGGGTATCTTTAGTAGGGGCTAGGAGCCAAGAGTCCTGGGTTCTATCCCCTGCTTGGGAGTCGTGTCTAGTAATCAGAGTGGAGCTTGTGGAGGCAATCAGGACTCCTGGGTTCTAGCTCCTTCTTCCTATGTGTGTGGTGTCATTTTAAATTGAAGCCCTTTAGGGAAGGGACTGACTTTCCCTGAGGGTCTGTGCAGCACCCAGCACAACGGGGCTTTCTTCTGGATTGGTAGCATATGCAAATAACAGCACCAGACTGTCAAAACAGCCTCGTTCATTTGGACGTCAAACTAACATCCATGAGTCGTCTGTTAAAACATTCAGATGTGAGCTGCACACAAACTTGTATTGCTTTAACCAATCTGATTTTAAATCTCATCTGTCGTTCAACTGGTTCAGCTCTGCTTGTGGCTGCCCTGATATTGATTTAAACCTGGCCGAAGTGTCGGAAGCTTCCCAGTGGCTAGTTAACCTCAGAGAACCAGCCTTCAACCCATAGAAGTGCCTCAAGAAGTGCATTTGCACAGGGCTAAAACAAACCATGCAGTCTGGCAACTCCTAAGTCCTACATCCCTCTGATGGTTAGAGACTGTCTCACTTACACCTCCATCTATCCATGCCCAGTTTATCTCCATTTGTTCTTCTGCCTACATTGTCCTTCAGCGTCACCAGCTCTTTCCCCCACTCCTGTCCCCTCCACCCCGATGTCTTTACACCGATTGTCTAGCTTTGACTTCATCCACCTGGGCTGAGACATGTCAGAGTTGGTCAGAAAAGTTTTTCCCTGGGAAATTTTGACTTTTCTTTGAAAACGCCCAAAGTAATTTGTTTTTCTAGTAACTTTTTATTAATTTTGAAAAGATACATAGAGAGTGAGAAAACAAACAGCAAAATATACATAAACTTCTCATAAGGCATAAACAGCTCATAAGATATTAATTATTTGCTACCTCACCTCAGCTAGGCTTGAAACATTTAGTTATCTGTAGTGTGAATGGTTAGAATATCAATCCCTTATTGTATTCCACAATTTACAAACTTTATAAAAATCCAGCTAGTTAAAGAAAAATTATTAAAGTAAGATAAAGTCTAAAAGCAAAATTCAAATGAGAGGGATAGATACAGGGAGCGAAAGTGGGTAGGGAAGAGGGGGGTTAAGGTGGGCCCATGCATTTGATAGGATCATCAGATACTTCCAGGAGAGCATCTCACATCTCTAACAACTTTTCTTGGGAAGTTCTGTAACAGTTTATAGCTCTTTCCATGGTAGCCAACCTTAGGATGTCTATGCTCTAAACTTCGATTGTTGGTTGCTTTTTGGATTTCCGTTTTGGTGGAGTAAGCGCTTCTGTGCTGGGGACATTAGGGCAGATTCGGGTTAGCAGGTGATGGGGGAGCCGGGAGCTCTGGCACTGTTGTAGGTTGCAGGGAAGGAGCAGTGAGTGTGACAGGCTGGGAGAGCAGAGCCCAGGGGTCTGATCTGCTCAGGGGGCGTTGTGTGTCTCCAGGGGCCTCTGCAAACCATGGTCCAGATCCAACGCTGGGTAAACCAATGTGGCTATGGCCAGTGACAACAGCTGCAGTGTGGCCCATTGATCCCAATGGGGCTAGGGCCATTGACACCAGCTGGGGTCTGGCCCATTGCCGACATGGGGAATGGAGGGGCTCAGAGCCCCAGGCCTTCTCTGCAGGGCTCCGGACAAGGGGGAGCTGGGCATAGACCCATCTGGATCTAGCTGGGAGGGGTCACCTGGCTGGAGGGGAGCTGAGGGCCAGGGGTCAAGGGAAATGAAGGAGTCTGAGATCACTGCCTGAGCGTCCCAGGCTGATCTCCCTCACCCCAGACATCGCTGCTCTCAGGCAGTGCCCAACCCATGAGCATCAAGGCAGGGCGCCAGGGAGAGTTAGGAACCATGTTCAATTCCAACTCCCTCAGCTCCCTTGGCAATCCCAACCCTGGCCCTTAGGCTGCGTCTTTGCTAGGGAAACAGCTGGTTTATTTCCCCCAGGGTAACGGACACGGACCAAACCCTGGGGCAGACCTGGCAGTTTGTAGCTCTCCCCCATGTCAGCAGGTCGAGTGACTGTCGGCATTAGCTGACCTGCTTACTCTTGTTAAAACTGCAGCCTGCCCTGTCCTCACTGGGCCTTTTCCACATGCTATTTCCCCTGGGATAGCCAGCATCTGTTCCAAAGACACCTGTTCCCAGTGCTGAGAAGGAGAGCAGGAGTTTGTTAATGGGAAGGGACATTAGGAAATTATGCACTGAACTGATTTCAGCTGAAATGACAGCTCTGAGCATCTCCTTCTAACCTCCGCTGCTCTGCCCTGCCGCGCGGCCTGGTGCATTTCGCTCACTGCTTCTTACCCAGCAATGAATAAAAATGAAGTTGCAAAACAATGAAGTGGTGCCTTCCTGGGAATTGAATGAATGCCCCCAGCCTCGGACTCCCAGCTAACTTGTACCTAGCAGGTGTAACCAGGGGTTTTGGGCCCCGTGGGGAATTCACCCCCTGGGTTTGAGTAATTCATGCTGGATCTGATAAAAATACAAGGAAAATCACAGGTGAAAAAGCAAATCACTGTGTCCGTTGTCAGCTCTCTGGCTCCAGGATCCCACCACTGACACCTAAGCCAGCTCTCTTCCAACAGGAGTGCACTTTAGGCCCACTGCAAGAGAAATCGGTACCACAATATTCTTAGTTTCCCTTATATGTCATTCCTCTTCTACTCTGCACCTGTCTGGGGACAGAGGGGTCACAAACAGCAGGCAGGCCAGTCCCCTCCATCAGGCATCTCAGCCCAGATGTCAAGGTCTGATCCCAAACAGCCTCTGTGTGCCCCCTCTCCAGTCCAACTGACACTTATCAGGGGCTTCTCAGGCAGGGGGCCAAGAAAATGCACCACAAACCTAGCCCAGTGCAGCAGCGATTCACAGACCGGACGCAGCTCTGATGTTCTGGGAAGAGACATCTCAGACTGGGACATGGCACCATCAGACGATGCCTGTTAGTATCATCTCATTGTTCCCCTGGTTCTTCCCCATCAGCCTGTCTGCAGCCACTTGTTTTCTCCTGTCCTATACATAGACTGTGAGCAACTGGGGACAGGGGCCATCGCTGTGTTTTGCGTTTGTACAGCACCTGGCATGGTGGGGTCCTGGGCCATAGCTGGGAGTCCACCTAGGTGCTACTGTGATACACCTAACAAGTAATGCACAGCGGCAATGGGGTCCTGTGCCATGGCTGGGTCTTCTAGGCGCTACCATAATACACCTAATAAACACTGTACAGTGCCCAGCACAAGGCAGTCCTGGTTAGGGTGACCAGATCGCAAGAGTGAGATATCAGGACACATTGGGTGGGCGGGGCGGGGGGAGGGGAGGGGAGGGGAGAGGACGA